GTTAACGTGGCCTGAGCTTGAGGAAGAGGCAGGGCAGGGGTGTCTGTTCAAAAGGGAAGGGTTTCCAAGAGCAAGGAAATGGAGCTCAGCCTTAGGTCTGTGTGTTGGGCAGCCTTCTGCTCACCCTTGGTTAGTCCTAGAGCAGTGCAGTCCAGTGGTGATGGACATGCTCTATCTCTACACCGTCCAGTATGGTAGACACCAGCCACACTTAGCTGCTGAGCACTTAATGTGGCTAGTGCAGCTGAGGAAGGAATTTTTTATATTACCCACTTTTAGTTAATTAAAATTTAAATATCCAGTTGTAGGCAGTGGCTATCACATGGAATAGTGCAGTTCTGGAGTTTGTAGAAAAATAATATATTCGTGCACTACCTGTTCTTGGCTTGTGCCTTATCTCCAGGCTGCTAGTTTTCATGTATCCTGTTTACAGAAGATAGTCAGGGTGTGCTGGGTTGCTAGCAAGAGTCAGGTGAGTTATCCTCTCTACCAGTCAAGAGGACATGACAAAGTTGGGGTAGTAGCCAGAAGGGAAGCCCCCAAAGCTATGACCACCTTGCTGAGATTGACCCGCCTTGTCTGACCTGCCTTCTCGTTCTGCACCTTACGGTCTGGTTTTCGCAGCAGCGGAGGTAGGCAGGTGGTGCTCAGATACGTGATCCTCGTGCCAACTAGGTGTGTTCCAGAAAGGGGAAATCACGTGTGTTGGTCCAGATTTTCTTGATTGCAAGTGACAGAAAGCCCAACAAACTAGCTGGAGTAAGAAGGAACATTTACTTTCTTGTTAAAGTGAAACACCCAGGCCAGAGAGGGCCTGGTAAAGTTACTTAAATTCTTTGGTTCAGAAGCAGATAGAAATTACAGGCCATCAGTCATATGATCTCAATGTTCCTTTCGTTTGTTGATAAACACGGTGCATCGCTGACTAGGACCCACAGTTTCCAGCCCCTGCCTGCAGGGGGAATCTTCGTTGACGGTCATGTTCTCTTGGCACCTGGGGGGGTCTTGCCCTGGCCCAGCTGGCATTGCAGGGACCGCGAGAAGACTTTTGCGATAAGGGGTAGGACATGTCTGTCCGCTTAATTATACTTACTCTAGCTACTCTGGCCTTGCTGTTTCTCATACTTGTTTAGCTTGCTCCTACCTCGGTCTTTTCACTGACTGTTCCCTCTGCCTGGAATGCTTTTCCCAAAGCTCTTTTCATCTTTCTGATCTATGTCCAAAGGCTACCGCCTTACCGAAGTCTAAGACGCACTTTCTAACACCCGGTTTCTTTCTGTCCCCTGTCAGGCCTCTCCCCTTCTTTGTGCCCCAACATTGGAAATTACAGCATGGCTCTTCTAGCCGGTTCATTGGACAGAGCAGCGGCCTGCGGACTGAAGGGTCCCAGGTTTGATTCCAGTCAAGGGCACGTACCTTGGTTACAGGCTCCTCCCCCGGCCTGGGCCCTGGTCAGGGCACATGCAGGAGGCAACCAATGGATGTGTTTCTATCACATCGATATTTCTCTCTCGAGTGAGGGTTAAAGAAAATAAAAGAAATTACAGTAAGCATGGGCTGCATACCTACTGTCTGTCTCCCCGCCAGCTTGCGCTCCAGCGGGCAGGAACGTTGTCCTGTTCACACTGGGTGCAGGGCCTGGCCTTCATGGGGTCTCAATAAATATTTGTTGACCACTGGGATACAATACCTCGAGTAAATAACCAGCCTCCACAGGACTTCTGGGACCAGGTCTCCTGGTTGTGGGAGGTCTCTGGGGTGACTTGGCTGTAGAAAGCTGTGGAAAGGAGGGCACTGGTGTCGTGCTATTGAGGCGGTCCTGGCATGTCCTCTGAAAGACCCACTGGGCTTCTTTCTGCCTCCACTGGTGAGGCGATTGAGGGAGTGGGCCCCCATTGCCCCAAAGGCATGGTGTGGTGGGGTAACGTGTGGGGGACATGGCAGTAATAGGGAGAACCAGATAAATAAATGTCTGGTCACTTTGTCAGCGAGTCTGTGAGACCACGGCTGGCAGGAGGAGGCTTGCTGGTCTCATGTGACAAGGATTTCCAGGGCCCTTCAGCTGCCACCTGATGGGAGCTGCATAGGGGATTATTGATGAAGGGGAGGCGAGGCAGCTCTTTACAGTAACACATGCCTCGCCCTGGGACCGCGGCCAGGCAGCTAATTAGAGAGCCCAGCAGCTGTCCAGCCTTTCAGGCAGCAAGCAGCAGTTACCCAGTGCCAGGAGCCAGGGGGGCGGGGGGGGGGGAGGGCAGGAGAGGGGCCTGGGGCCAGAGACCACCCTCTGAGGTACAGGGACTGGGCTGTCAGGGTTCATGCAGGGGGAACATGGGAGGGCCATGTAAGTTAGAGTGACCTGGAGGGGAGGCGGGGAGGAAGAGAGGACAGGTGGCCTCCAGGTGAGACAGAAGGCAGGGTGGCGAGATGTCCGGCCAACAGGGAAACCCAGATTCCGAGCCCTGAGGGAGCGGGCCCAGAGTAGAAGGCAAGGTCAGGTGGAGTCCATCCCGTCTTCACCCCCCTTGCCTATGCCAGTCAGGTCCCAGGGCCTGGGCCTCCTCGCTCCCCAGGGGATTGGAACCCCAATTATATTTGTAGCTGAGTGTGGTCACTCCTTGGTTTGGGAAGTTGCCAAATCCACTTGTGTTTAGGGCTGGTCTTCCTGCAGGACAAGTACAAGCATTCGTTCTGTGTCACATGGGAAGAACTGGGAGGACTTTGAGTGACCAGAGGGCTCGCAATGGCCCTTTGGGGCAGCTTCTCTTTCCTTCGTGGGAACCTGCGGTGAAGTAGATTTGGGGAGAGTTAAGGAAGAGGCGAGTGGGAGAGACAGAGGGGTAGTGTGCTTCCTGGCTCCAGTCTCAGGTTCTGGGCCATTTAGGTGTGGGCGGTGAGTTGGGGTAGATTTGTTGTTGGTTTGTTTGTTTCTTGCTTTTGTTTGTTTAATCCTCACCCGACGATATTTTCCCATTGATTTTTTTGGAGAGGGTGGATGAGAGGGTGTGAGAGAGACACATCGATTGGTTGCCTCCTGCATTTGCCCCAACCGGGCCCTGGGGATCGAGCCTGCCACCAAGGTACCTGCCCTTGACCAGAAATCGAACCCTCGACCCTTCGGTCAGAGGGCCGACACTCTAACCACTGAACCAAACCAGCCAGGGCTAGATTTGTTTTTTAGGTTCCTGTCAGAGAAGCAGAGATTGAATCCTGCAAACCCAGCTTACCCTACATAGTTACAGGGGAGGAGAGAGAATGATGCAGAGGGAATTTCCTGCCAGCAGCCGCTGGGTAAACCTCTCTGGGAAATGAGTCCCACTTGTGTGAAAACTGGATGTGCCTTTTGAGAGGGCCAGCACCTTGTAGAAATAACAGAACAGGCATTGTCAGTCTCTGGCCTGACCCTGAGCTTGGAGCCTGCACTGTCCCTGGGGATGCTTGGGACGCTCCAATCCTGCCCCAGACTTTCTCAAGTGACATGTCTTCTGGATTGTCCAGACCCAAGGCACCCACCTCATCTATCCACACCGCTCAGTCCAGGTGATGGCTCTTGGGAAGCGGGAGAAAGGGGCATGAGCATCCTTCTTTCTTCCCTCATCTCCAGAGAAAGCCCTTCCGTGCTGATAGCCTGAAAATGAGAGGAGATCCCCAGCCATCACTATGTTTGGTGAATAACACTGGATGGTGCAATCCCCCAAGAATTTAGCTGGGCCCTTCTCTTCCTTGTGTGTCTCTAGCCATCAAACAGACATTTCATGGTCTTGGAATTCATTCTGTGGAGGGGGAAACAGACACATAATGATTTTAAAGATGGAACAGTGTTTCTTGTTTTACATTTATTTTTTAATTTAAATATTTATTGTTGAAATATTACATATGCCCCCCTCCTCCCCCCATTGACCCCTTCTAGTCTGCCCCGTCCCCTGCCCCAGGCCTTCACCACCCTATTGTCTGTGTCCATGGGTTATGCATATATGCATACACATCCTCGGGTTGATCTCTTCCCACCCACCCCTGCCTTCCCTCTGAGATTCAACAGTCTGGAAAATTACGTTTCAACAGAAGGATGTTCAAGGGCCTGTGGGGACATTGGCGATGGGGGACTGTGGGAAGATGGCATCATCGCCAAAGGGGTGAGGTGGGAGCAGGGTCTTGGAGGAGGAGTGGGTGCGGTGGGCTGCAGAGAAGGCAGGTAGAGAGGCTTGAAGCCGTGTGGGGGTCTCCTCTTCAGGCTCCTAGCAGTGCCTGGCCTGTCCAGGGAACAACTGTATGGACAAACTCGGCTGTATGTTTACAAATACGAAGCTTGCAGAATGGACTAAGTAGGTGACACATAACGAAGTGCAGACATGTGCCTTAAGGGTGGGATTGGATCGAAAGCAGTTTGAAGGCCTGCTGCATGGGGAGGGGAGTGACTCTAGAGCCTGAGGACCAGGGTTGAATCAAATGTGTGGATCTGGCCCAATTTCTTAATATCCTGAGACTCAGTGTTTCCATCTCTAAAATGGGAGTGAGGGGTGATAATTCCTGCCCTCCCCGCAGGAGTCTCAGCGAAATCATGAGAGATGATATACTCCAAAAAGTCTAAGTTCTACGCACATGTTCGTTGTTTTCAGGGCTCCTCACACATTCATGTGCTCTATCAACGGGTTCAGGCCAGGCAGCCCACAGAGGAGCCTAATGCCCTGTGCCCCCTGGGACCTACTTGAAGGGGGCAGGAAGTGCTGGAGGGGGCTGGGACTCCCCCCCCCCCCCGGCACTATACCATCACCTCCTCATCCAGCCCCCACCAGCTCCCTGGGGAAGACTAGGAAGCAGGAGGTGTCCTGCTCTGACTGCGTCGGCTTCATCTGCCAGGGTGGTACCTCAGCCAGCAGTGGGCTGGGCTCCCAGGGCTGACTTCAGCGACCAGCAGGCTCTGCTGCCAGGATGTGGGCTTTGGTTCCTGTTTCTGTTTTGGTTTCGACTTGTGCGGTGGATGTGGCCTGCTTAGGGCGCAGGGAAGGGGACGTGCCCGTACCCAGGGGTGGCTTCGAACTCCCCAGGCACAGGGTCATGGTGGTGCTGGGGTGTCGAACATGCCCCGTTAAAGCCCTTCCTCGAGGGGATAGGTATGTGCCTTGGTGATCTCTTGCCCACCCTCAGGCAGGCAGGGAGCCGGGAGGAGGCTGAGGGGTGGGGCAGGGTTGGAGGCTCCTGTGTGTGGAGGAGCTGGGAGGGACAGAGGCAGAGCCCAGGAGCCCAGTGCCCAGCACAGCCTCTGCCCTTCATTTCTCAGCGCAGGGGAGAGACCCAGGGGTGCACACCGTCTCCACCCATCAGCACAGGTGCACACAATGGATTTCAGGTCCCCAACCCCTGCCCTGTCACTTCTTGCAAGTTGTCAGCTTAGGGAGCAAAGGCCTGAGACACCTCTGCTCATAGGGCCTGGGGTGGGGCAGGGGGAAGGTGACCGTAGGTGTCAGCAGGGGGTAGCCCCACTGTGGCCCACCCTGTTTGGCCATCCAGGGGGGATGGCGCTAGCTGCCCTCTGCTCTCCCCCTCCCCCAGTCATATTATTCTTGTCCGCTTCCGAGTGGCCAGTGCTCCTTCCATAGGCCGTGCCGCACCTGTCCTTGGAGTTGTGCCGATGGTGCTGTCATTTAAGGCAGGGGTCCTCAAACTACGGCCCGCGGGCCACATGCAAATACAAATATTGTATTTGTTCCCGTTTTGTTTTTTTACTTCAAAATAAGATATGTGCAGTGTGCATAGGAATTTGTTCATAGTTTTTTTTTAAGCTATAGTCCGGCCCTCCAACGGTCTGAGGGACAGTGAACTGGCCCCCTGTTTAAAAAGTTTGAGGACCCCTGGTTTAAGGGGTTCTCAGGGAAGCTTCAGCACCTTCATATTAAAACAAAAAACCTGGGAATCTCTATCAAACGGTCTAGTCCTAGGGATCTATTGGAAACGTACATGGCCAGGGACGTTGTCAAGTTAGAGTTACAGCAGCTGTTGTCAGTTGCAGATGTTAATATGAAGGCTTCCACAACAATAATGACAAAATAATAGAATGAGCTAAGTATTAGGGTGGTGGGACTGTGGGTAGAGGGGTTAGCACCTATTTTGATGGTGTGCTTGTTGTTGTAACTCCCTAAATGCTGAAACCAGCATCCGACAGTGCCTACCCTCCATGGGGCTCTTGACCCCCCTTTGGGAACAGACGTACCCACTACAGGGTGAAGGTAAGAAGCTGAAGCTAAGTAAGAATGGAGCTGGATTGTGAGATTATATCCGCTCTCTGATTTACGAGGGAGCACACATTCCCTCGTGGTAAAAGAAGTCCTGAGTCCTGGCCCCACTTGGGATGTGACTTGGGATGGATCCAGGGCTCTTGTTGCTGGATTAACCAGACCCGAGCAGACAGGCCAGCCTGGAGGAGGTGGCCGGTTCCAGGAAAGGGATCAGGCAGTGCGGACAGGACGAGTGTCTAGTGCTGACCCTGGAGCTGGGCCCTTGAGGCTGCTTCTCTGGCTGGCCCGGTGGCTCGGAGCTGGGGAGAGTTTAAGCTAAAGAACATCTTCTCTTTTATTTCCAGGGACACATGGAAGCCACCTGCCCACTAGCCGAGGATCGGCTAAGCCCTGGGACTAATGCTCGCCCACGCTGCTGAGAATGGCACGGTCGCCCAACCAGGCACCAGGACAAAGGTGAACCCAGGACACTCCTGGACAGCGACCCTGATGTCTGTTCTGAGCTGCGCACTGAAGGGTGTGATAAGTGAGTGTGTTACAGGCTCCCCGGGGAGAGCCAGCCCTCGCGGCCTCGGCAGGGTGGAACCAGGTCAGGAAGTCCTGGCCTGAGCCTGCGTCCGTCCCAGGGCCTGCCAGGGCCCCCGTAACCCCTGTCCAGGGCCCCTGTAACCCCTTTCCGGGGCCCCCTTCTGGAATTGTGCATCAAGAAGTAGTCCCAGAGGAGAATAGGGTGGGAATGGGCGGGCAGGGTCCAGCAGTGTCAGGCCATGTCCCTTGCTGGAGTCATGGCCTCTAAAAATGAGGCCAGACTCAGGCGACGTGAGTGGCATGAGACACCCAGCACCCAGGAGACGCATCTTCCCAAACCCTCCTTGTCTGTAGGCTCACGGATGCTTTGAGCCTTGGGCTCCACTTCTGTCAATAGGAACTGTGCCTCCCCTGGGACTTGGACTCTGCCCAGATGCCATGGTCAGTTTCTGTGACTCGGGTAGAGCATCGGGGGCACTGGGAGGTAAGGGATTTGTGGCACCTGAGCTGCCATAAAACTGGCCATCGGGGCGTCTGCTGCTTTTGTCCCATTACCTGTGTCTCCTCTTCAGTCCAGATGAGCTTCGTGTAGGGCGAGAGGCCCCCAACTACAGAGCATCGCCTGTCCTCATGTGGCCTTTCTTCCCAACCTTGGCCTCTGGCTTTTCCTGGATGATGCTTTTAAGTATGACCATTGTCAGCATTTCCAAGCCCCAGAGGCCTGAAGGCTGTTCTGTGTGTGGGACCAGGGACCAGCAGGCAGAGAGCCCCCCTGGAAGGCAGGGCAGGGAGAGGGGGTGCTTTTGCACACCTGACTGGACAAGCGTTCAGGAGCAGCTGGGCTGGTCCATGGGAGCCGGAGCCTTCGGTTCCACAGAGGAGCTTGCAGGAGGGAAGAGAGTAACCAGGTATTTCTCAGCTTTAGGTGGAGCTTGACTCTACTGCCAGCTGAGAGTGTACTCAGGGCTAGAATCTGTGTTCACTGAGTTGGGGCTTGCAAAGTCAGTTTGTGCGAGGAGGGTCTTTCAGGAAGCATGCTCTTGGGTTGCTTTGTGGCCGGCGTGTTGTGAGTGTGCCTGGACCGTGGGAGTGGCGTGGGGGTGGAGAGAGGCCCATGGAGGCCGCTGTGGGAATGCGGTGACTCAGTCAGGAGACCTCTTACCCACATAACACAGACTTCCCCAGAGCAGTCTACATCACCAGCCTTAAAACTGTGGTGCCCTCTGTCCAGTGACCCTACTTCTGGAATTATTCATTAACAGATAGTCCCAGAGAAGAAAGGGGCTGAATTATTTTGTTACAGGCATAAAACAAGATGTTTCTTTGGTGTCGGGGTAACAGTGGAAATGGGAAACAGTTGTTCTCCCTTTGTTGAACATCTGTGTTAAGCAAATTATAATTTTCTACTTGTGGAATATTACACAGCCATTATAGTAATGAGCACATAGGCAACACACTAATTTGGAAAAACAGTGTATGATATAATAAGTGCTAATATCAGGTTACAGAACAAGTACATTCGGGTAACTTGTAAAATAAACTTGTGAGAAAAGATTGCAAAGAGGAAATGATAATGGCTGCTAGTTTGGTGGAATTATGAGAGACTTTTCCTCCTAAGATGCCTGGATTTTCTCTTAAAACAAACTTTAATCTGGATGAATACACAGCCCACCATTAATGGTGACTTTCTCTACGATGTGGGGTGATGGGGGACTTTGCTTTCTAAGTCATTCCTTTCTGTAATGTTTAAATTTCAAATGTGAGCATGTTACATTTGTAATCAGAAAAAAATAAAAAAGATATTTTAAAATGATAGAATTGAAATTTTAAAAAACAGGAGAAAGAGGAGAATAGAAAGGTTAAGCTGGCTAGCTGTTTATATCTGCCCTCATCAGTGTTTAAGGGGCTGTGCCTGCTTGGGCCCATTCATTCATTCATTCATTCATTCTATAGGCAGTAGTGGGTCTTGTTGCCAGGCACTGTCCTAGGCACTGGACAGAGCCCCTATCCTGATGGAACTTTTTCTCTAATTGTGTGTGTGTGTATGGGGCAGGGGGGTAAGACAATGAACAAGTAGCAAAATATCAGAATGTGAGAGTGCTGTGAAGAAAATGAAATGGGGTGATGTGAGTGACAGGGAGGCGATTTTGGATCAGAGATCAGAGGTGTGAGGGGTGACCGTTGACCTGAGACCTAAATGACAACAGGGAGGCAGCCACATGAGGTCTGAAAGAGCCTTGCTGGCCATGCACAGGGTGCCCAGCCTACAGGACCATCCGCGAGTGCCCTTTGTTGCTTGAGCCCTATAGAACCTCTGTGTCAGGGCTGACGGTCCCTCAAGCCCACTTCCCCCTGCGCCTGCCCGCTGGGATTTGCTTAGCATCTGAGACCCTCCCCTGCTTGCTGGCCTGTGTGGAACGGTTGCCCCTGACACTCTGGCTGCTGTTGGTCCAGGCACAGGGCTTCTCTGGCCAGCCTGCGCGTTGGCCACTGCTCCTGGCGGGCAGGGCTGGGCCATCTGAGATTCCCAGCAGTATCGTGGCAGCTGGCAGTTGGGGAGGCTGCAGGTAATGCGTGTCCTGGTAGGGGATCTTTGAATGGCACATGCCTTGAGGCCCTGAGAGGTGGCTGTCCTGGTCCTGAGAGGGTCAGCTTGTGACCCTGGAGGACCTTTGTGCAGATCCTGCCAGACCTTGGCCTCAGAACAGAACATGGCCTCCCACAACAGTCTGAAAGCCTTGGTAGCTCCAACACCCATTCTGAGCTTCACTAATAATCTACCTTAAATCTCATATCCTTCTTGTTTCCTGTTGTCTCTCCATGTACCGTCCAGCTTTCCAGAAGCAGAAACTCGGAAAATGGTAGTGCCCTCAGAGGAGCCTGTAGTCAGCTTCGAGCACTGCAGTATGCTGGGGGTACTAAAGGCTCTGGAGCTGGGCTCGAGTCCCACCTCTGCCTTGTACAGCTGTAAGAACTTAGGCTAATTATTTAGTCTTTCTCTGCCTCAGTTTCCCCATCTGTAAAATGGGCTTGAAGAATATCAGAGTTAATACATGGAAAGTGCTGAGAAGATGCCTGATTATTAATATTACTAGAGGCCTGGTGCACGAAATTCATGCACGGGTAGGGTTCCTAGGCCTGGCCAGCGATCAGGGTCGATTGGGGCCTTCCAGCTGCCAGCCGGGGCCTTCCTTCTGGCTGCTAGCTAGGGCCTCCCTTTCCTGGCTGCCAGCTGCTGGCCACCAGCCGGGGCCAGCCTTCCCTGGCCACCGGCTGGGGCCTTTCTTCATTCCGCACTGCACCTGGTGCCCAGCGCATGTCATAGCGAGTGATAGAACTCCGGTCGAACTCCCATGGGGACACTTTGCATATTAGCCTTTTATATACATAGAAGATTGTGACTGAGAGGTGGAGGGAGGACCATCCCAGGGGACTTTCCTAGGGGATGCCCATAGCAAGAGAGGGTGGAACTCTGGCATCTGGGCCAGCCAGTGACCACAGGTGTTTTTCCCCACTTGCTTCCCTTCTGGTCCGGAAGCAAGCTCCCCCCCCAACTTGATAACCACAGGGGAAGCTCAGGATGCACCCAGATGCCCAGATGCAAGGGCAGCTCATGGATCCCACTCACCTGCAGTACAGGCTCTGTCAGGGGCCTGGGCTCACGGTCACTCAAGCCCCACCCCCACCGTCTTGCCCTCAGGGCTGTGCCCCACCGCATCTCCCCAGAGCATAAAACTGTAGTGATTTGTGTACCTGGGGATGGGGAGTGAAATTTGGGAAGTAGAGGGGGTGAAAGAGGAAGGCTTACTTGGCCTGGCTACATGGAGGGGAAGCCCAGTTTTCTAACAAGGTGCTCCTTTGGACCTTGAGTCACTGTGTGTGGCACCTCAGCTTCCTGGAACAAGATGGGAGTTTTTGGCAAAACCGAGGACAGTCATCTCATCTGGTTTTGCTTCCAGCCTGCCTTGGGCTTTTATGCCTTCTCTTCGCTCCTCTCAACTACTGGCTCTGCTCTCCGGCACCCTGAGGAATGGCTCAGCAGGCCCTGAGAGCAGCGGGAGACAGTCCTCGGGAGCAGGGCTCTGGAGGGAGCCCTCTCCCCTCCCGTCACCCGTCCTTGGAGGAGCCGTGTGCTGCCGGGAAAGTCCTTGAGTCCTGGCCCTTTGCTGGAACGCCGTGTTCCCAGCCCCATTGACCAACAGGTTTGAGGAGTTTCATCGACACTTGTACTTACTCGAGTGCTGTTCCCCCAAATCCCTCTTGTGAGACTGTCCACACTTTTTTCCTGCCTTCAGTCTGGCCCACACTCTCCTCTTTACTCCACCCTAAACGTTCTTGCCCGGGCTGTTCCATTTTTGTGTCCTGGTTCTCAGGATGGTGTGTTTGTCACCAGGAGGAAGCGGCCAGCATCCAGCATGCTCAGTGCGCTGCGGGCTCTTCCGGATCCGTTTCTTCCCAGGGCTCCGATCCCGGGGCCGAGCGAGGAGGTAGGGGAAGGGGCAGGGGCAAAAGGCTCAGGTGGGTGGAGGCCAGGCAGGGATAGGTATCTGTTGGACCTAGCCGAGGGTGGGTGAGCTCAGGGGAAGCAACGGCACCTGTGGTTATTAGACATGGGTTTGGGGAGTGGAGTTCTGAAAATCCCCCCGAGACACTGCCTGCCTCTAACCTTAGTGTCTGTCCCATCCCAGCTGACGACACTATCTTACCTTGAGGTTCCTTGTCTTCACCCCCATCTCCTGGCCCCAGCCAGGACTTCCTGGTTCTCCCATTTATCTTGCATGAACCAGGCGAGTTCTCTGGCACGACACCTCAGATGCGGTCTGGCCTTGCTTAGATATGCTCCCCCTCCACCTACCCCCGTTCTTTCAGGCACAGAAGATCCCAGGAACAGAACCCAGGCCTCTGGCACCCCGTTCTCTCCCTCGTCCTCTCTTCTGTTCAGCGGCTTGCCCTCTCTCTCCCTGTGACAGCTCTCTCTCTCTCTCTTTATTCTTGCTT